TTTCGTCGCTTGGCAACGACGTTGTAAAACAAGTCCCCCCCTCGGTGTTTGCCATCGGGATTGGGTTTTCGTCGCTTGGCAACGACGTTGTAAAACAAGCCCCCCCCGGTGTTTGCCATCGGGATTGGGTTTTCGTCGCTTGGCAACGACGTTGCAAGACCAATTATGACGGAATGTCTGCAATTGCTGAGATTTGAGTCTGTCGTGAGGCCGACAGAACATACCAACCCGTATGGTGCTCTCATTGTATATACCCCGGAATCGCTCTGCCCGCTACGATTTGGAGGCCCAAATCGCAGCCGAATTTTTTTCTTGCGATTCGGGTTTGAGGTCGATGTGCAGGCGTTGTTGCGCGCGCGCGGCGCCGATTGCACGTGTGTACCGCACTCGTGCACCGCCGTGCACCCGTGTGCGCCATGTGTATCGTGTTGATGCTGAACAGATCAGATGTTGGACGTGTGCGTGCGTGTCAACTCTTTGCTGGCATCATGTGGAGAGCATTTGGTGGTGTTAAGAGGCAGACGACACACCCTTTCTCAAAGGTAAAAAAAAGGGCGCAGTACAGGACATGTATAATGCATGGGAGATCCACGGTATCGCTGCTGCTGCATGCTCTCGTTTACAAGTACACAACCGGCCATTGCCTATTTATGCTTGTTGAGTGATGCGCGGCTCAACACAGAGCAGGGGTAGATGTGTGTGTGTATCGCTCCCGATCCCATACGGCGGCATAGTAGCCGTGTCCGAAAGGAACCAACTGTCAGTTGGTGGTCTGTCGATTCAAAGCCAGTGTTTTCCCCTTTCCGACCATAAGGGTTGATCTCAAAAATCGCAGCTGCTCTCTGTTGGCTTGGGAATTTCCGCCTGATTCTGTGGTTTCCAGCCAAAATGAAGACCTTCCATAAGAATTGGCCTAAAACAAGCCACTTCACTTCGTGAACTCGGCAACAAGGTTACCGTTTTTTTTTTCACCTCTGTCTCTTTTTTTTTTCGGTAGACATGAATGGCGGTCGAGTAGATCATGTTGTGCGGGGTCGAGAACCCTCACTCCGCGCAAGGGGGATAATCGCCCCACGTTGTGTACAATTGGTCAAGTACCCTCGAGGCACTTAAAAATGTGCATATAACTGTCCCTGGAAGTAAAAGCACCACACAATAAATTAAGTCATACGCAGCTGTCATCTGTACGCAAGGAAGTAAGCACAAGATGCCGAACACCCTTAGCAGGATGCAGCGCACCCTTCATGCGACTCGCCGAATATCTCACGGCGCTTCGCGCTTGGTGATGTGAGAGCCTGGTCCGGTGAGAACCCGGCGTGCTTCGTCCCGGCTTTGTAGGGATGCGAGGCCAATGGTCTAACAACTACGGCATGCACGAGTATGAGTGCACTCTTCCCCACTTCGGCGTGAAAAAGGCAACGTTACACGCGCGCGCTCAACCCAACCCGCGCGCTCAACCCACAGCCCGTTACCTGCCAAGAACTGCAGAGGTTGTCCAGACGGCCGCTGAGCACGAACTCGGAGCACGTCCCCCCGATGCAGGACGGCTGCGTGTCGCAGAGCTGGAGCTCAAAGTCCTTCACATCTTCCGGCTGGCACCTACATCGTGCCGTGGACAGGGGGGG